AAATCTGGTAGCGCCAGGAACCGAACCCGGACCTCTGGATCTGTAGCCAGGAATTAACTGGCAATAATGCACCGTAGTTTCTCACTGCAGATGCAGTATAGCGCATTTATATAGGGTGTGTTTTCAGCTGTTAGCCAAGGGTATTAGAAAACTTTAGGTTACGTGAAAGAAAAGATAACACGACACACAACGAGATCCTCAAAATTGCGCCTCTCTCATTGCCTTCCGCCAACTGCAAATATGAGATTTATCTGAGTTTCCTTCCGTCCTGTCTGCCTGATACATAAATGATGTCACAATCATGAAGGACACTTCACAGGCGAAAGAGAACATTGGAAAGGTAAAAAGTAAAGTTGTCCCTGTGCTTAACCAGTTAAGCACTACGCAATGAAAGGTTATGGGGGTTACAGAACTCCATTTTAGTGAATTCAGCACTAGTTGGAGATGGGTGCCCAGCTTTACGCCCCTGCAGCTTTACTCCCGGGGGAAACAACCCCCGGTACCCTTTTGGATTTGAGGTTGGGTGGACCCCAGACGAGATGGAGAAGAGAAAATTCTTGACTCTACCGGGACTCGAACTTCGACTCCTCGGTCTTCCAGCCCGTAGCCGGTCGCTATACCGACTGAGCTACAGTGGAGGATGAATAGTGCTTGGAAATGTCCATATATTGTGCCACAAGAAAGGCTTTAATATTAAAAGCAATGTTGCCCCGTGACTAAGTAACGTGAAATGAGGAATTAGCGTCGCTCATTTATATCTCGGTAACAGCTTCACGCCCCAACCCGCTTTACATCTTGAGAAAGAGATCTTGGCACCCACAGAATAACAGTCTCGTTGGGCTCCAGTGCTGGTCTCAGCGCTGTATAAATGACAAAAAATTCTTGCCTCTGACGAAATTCGAACCCAATTTCTCTGCTGTCTAACCTGTAGCTAGGCACTCTATTAACTCAGCTACCGGGTCAAGTGGGATTTGTGGTGGACAAAGTGGCGCTTCGGAGTACTTCGGTTTCCCCTACCAATCTTCATTCCACCAATTGCTCCACAATCACCCTCACCTATCATCTGGGACTGGTACAATAGGACAGAAGTGGCCGCAGTACAAGGGACTTACTCCCACCCCACTAGCAAAAAAAAAACTCAGCTACCGCGGTATAAAGCTTCGATATTAATGGTGTTCTACTGTCAGTGTTAAAACTTGTGAGGAAAAATGTGCATGTTTTGAGAAGTGGCTCGGAATAACACATGGAAAAGACAGGTTTATACCGAGAAACCGCGGACTAGAGTCCTGTCTAGGGTATATAGAAGGTAAACCTATCCCTGTAACAGGCCGTGAAGGCCTATAGGGTTGTGAGACCTTGAGGGTACCACTTATCTAGACAATCGGCTCAAAGATGGCGGTAAGGTTGTCAGCCTTACGCGCCGGCCGCGCTTTACTCCCCAGGAAAATTATTTAATTAATTCCTGGTACTCATTTCTGTTAGAGGCTGAGTAAATCCCAGGGTCATAGTGCGGCTGGAAGGATTAGGTCAATTGAAAAAAAAATCCAGTGACCTCATTGGGACTTGAACCCGCTTTACAAACAAAAAAAAATAATCTCCGTGGCTTGAGTCCGCAAGCGAACTATACCAACCGAGCGGTCACTGCCATATACGGCAGGCTTATTCCACTTACAGTCTTTTCAAAGCTATGGACTACACCTCATGCAGACCAATTACGGAAAGTAACTGCGCATGCGCAACATAAAATAACCCAGAGAATGAAGAAGGCTGCAGGAATACGAAAACACTGACAACTCTATACTTGGTGGGGGCAAGATAAGGCTTTCTCTCCGCTTAATTAATTTAACATAATGTCATGAAGACGTGGGGGGGGGGGTATAGCGCCACCTCGTTGGTGTTTCCACCTCATCGTGGTGAGGAGGTTTGAGTATGCCAAGGACCCTGAGAGCTATACCAGCGGTAGCGTAGCTACTGGCAGGGCCTCCCTTGCTGGACAGGTCAAAGGGTAGGCATCAGACGAAGAGAGACACCAAAAACCAAAAACTGATGCCGGAAGCAGCGTCATCAGCAGCGACTTGAAGCACAGAGCAAATGATGCTCGAGATGGTTCAAGTTCGTATAGCAACAGGCGTAACCAGAGTGGTTTGAACGGCTGTTGTACTGCGATGTGGAAAGCAAATGGAAAAACTACCACATTATCACTTTTCCTGGATAGTCTCTTTCCAAAAACAGANCCTCCCCCTTTACCCCCCCCCCCCCCCCGGGGAAAGAGCGACTGGTACCCAACGGACAGGAGGCTGGGTGGACGCCAGTCTGGACACTGTTGGGTACATAAAAATCTCTTCGAACTATGCCATGAAGGCGTATGGGGGCGTGGATGTATAGATCCACATTTTTTGACCTCGGCACTAGTTGGAGGTGAACTTTTAGCTTCACGGTCCGGCCGCTTTACCTTGGGGGAAAGAGTCCCCGGTACCGATAGGATAGGAGGTGAACCCTCCTTGGCTTAGTCATTCTAATTATATTTGGCGAGAAATACACGTACATTTCACGAAGCTCCTCGTTATGCAGTTGCCGACCTCCCTATAACGCGTCCATTTTGTGTATTCTGTGCAAAGAACACATTAGAACGTGACAGAAGCAGGGATCGCGGTTCGGCAGTTCAGATCATTCTGTTTTATTATCGAATCTACTTTTGATTCACGTCACTGGGCGAGTGCCACTTCTGAACTGCTTATTGCATTCAAGGCCGAGCTGACGGTGAGTCGAGACCTGCTAGATCACGCGTTAAGGTGTCTGCAATAATGAGGAACCACGGTTGTCTAACGTCAGGCAAGGGAGTGGGCCAAGCTGATACACTTCAAATGGAAAAACTGTTGACTGACGCAACATGGGTGGTTTAACTCCACTCAAGACATGATTCTTGAGAAGCTAACGTTCCCTCAGCTGGTCAATAAATATCCCGTATAGAACCTTCGTGATCATTACGTGGGTCACTGAACGCCACGCAGAACGGGTTGGCGTGGAGGTAATGCTATTGACTCCTGTTTGGGAGGCTAATCTCACGTTTCCGTGGTTTCATTCAGTCCTTCTAGAATATACCTCGATTAGGGCACGACCACTACCAACCAAATCATTCATCTGTAATTCTTCCATTCGATGCTATCGGGTCTGAGATATTGGTGCAAGATGGGCATATAGTAAAACTGAATTATTTCTCTGTTCTCGGTTCAGTGAAGCGCGACGGCGTATTTGAAGTTGTGGGGGGAAGGGGGGGGGGAGGCACCAAAACTATAGAGACCTCTACCAGTGACAACAAATTTAGGTTATGACAATATTTTACACTATTTTGCTTATTTTAAAAAAATAAAATTAGTCTTATGAGATTACCACGTTGCCTGTGTGGTTGTGAATCCACTTTCTGAATGCCTAAGCCTATCTCAACGATGGACTTAATAAATCTTTCCCATCAGACTGTAATGGGTAGTCCCCTATCGTTGCTAGGCAACGGCTCGGTGAACACATTACCGCTGCAACGAATACATGCAACAGAACAATTGTTGACCGTGTTGTTTTCTGTGCGGTCCGTGTCGTATCAAAGGAATGTGGGCGATTAGTTCTTGCCAACACTTCTTTGTTACTGATGAAAGCAGTTTTCTGGGATGTGGCGCCGTGTAGATATAGTGTTAACCGACGTTTTGGAGGAACGTATCGCCTCCATCTTCAGGGTAGAGGAGAAAAATCTGTTGCACCTGCTCACGCTGGTTCGCTCGCGGATTTCTTCTTGTCTTCTACCCTGAAGATGGAGGCGATAAGTTCCTCCGAAACGTCGGTTATCACTGTATCTACACGGCGCCACATCCCAGAAGGCTGCTTTCATCATAGTCACCGCCGTGAAAACCTCAAATCTTAAATTCTTTGTTATTATTTCTTATAATTAAAAATACAAACTAACTTTCAGCGATTTTTCAGAAACAGATGTCTCAATAAAATACGTGGATTCTATTTCTATTTTGTGGAAGTCCCCGCCGGGCGACCACCTGGCCCTGGTGTAGTGTGCGGTTCGAGATACAAAAATCCCCAACTGACGACCAGTTTACGATAACGTGCATGACGGCTGTCTCTCAGGGTGTAGTGATACATGGGTACCAAGCACTGGCGGAAACCCGAAGTTAGTCTTAACGATTTATGCCATGAGATTTGGAGACATGACACGACTGAAATGAGAAATCGCTTAATTTCGAGCCGTACTTATTCAAAAGTACATTTCAATGTTCACAAACGTTACACGGAATTTATTCTAGTATACTGAATGAACCCGGTCCACCGCAAAGAGAAACCAAGCTGAGATACAATCATGAAAAGCAAAAAGTAAAAGTTGTCTCTGTGCTTAACTAATGAAGCACTACGCACTGAAGACGCAGGGGAGAGTGAATGTGTAAGGTAAAGCTATCCTTGTGGAGGCCCATAGGTTTGTGAGATGTCGAGGCTTCCACATTTTCTCTAGACAATCGGCTCACAGATGGTGGTAAGGTTGTCAGCCTTACGCGCCGGCCGCCTTTTACTCCCCAAGAATATTCCTGATACTCATTTCTGTTAGAGGCTGAGTCGACCCCAGGGCCATATTGCGGCTGGAAGGATTTGGTAAACTGAAAAAAAGAAAATCCACCTCATTGGGGCTAGGAACTCGCGACCTTCCGGCTTCTAGCGTAGTGCCTCAAACTATGCTACCGCATGCCCCAGAATGAACGTATACATTAATGTATTCTTGATCTCGGCACTAGTTGGAGACGAGTGGTCAGTTTGACGGTTTACCATCCGAGGAGGATGCCCCCGTATCATTTACATAAGAAACTAGGTGAACCCTAGAACGGCGATAATGAAATGTATAAGAAATAAAGTTAGTTTGTACTTAATTGTGGTTACAAACTTATCAACAGAAAACAAGACCCAGCAACGTAAACGTAAACATATATATAATAATGTATATCACCACTTACCTTCCCGACCAGTCGCATCCATCGCCAAGGGAGATGGTTGAGCCAATGAGACGGCAGTTTGCTCTCAAATTAACCATAAGTACTGTTACCAAGCAACTGACAAATATGTCTTTTAATCGAAACGGAAACTTCATTTTTATAAAACGACTTCACCTTCGATAAACCAACACAGATCGATATATCGTTAACATGGTGTTACTGTCTTCAGACATATAGACACAAGATAACGCGCCCCAGGCAGCGAACATACTTAATCACTCTCTTATATTGTCCAGTTTCCTTGTTGCAACATTTCCTTTTGGTTTGACAGTTCCATGAACGAACGAAAATGAATCGGTCTACGAGACTGTACATTCCCCATTTAACTCCGAAGTGGAAAGTCTATAACGAAACCAGGGGCGAGTTCTTTATCGACGAAAGGAATGTGGATTATATGTACGAGTAAATGTCTTGAAACCATATGCGAAGCGTGAAGAAGTGGAGATTTCCTCCAGGCGCTGTGAATATAATGGTAGAGCCATGTATGTTTGTGCACAACACGAAGGTCATAATAAAATTGTGTTCATTTACATATTTTAAAACATATACACATGTCCCGGATGTATGGGTTCAAGATATATTCATGTTCATGGGAACTAATAACGCTTCTGTAAGTTACTATTACTAAAAAGACAGCACTTTTTATGGTGACTTTAAGTATATAAGGCTACTTGTGATATACAGTTACGCAGATGGTTAAATCCGCCAAACTGTGAAAAGAACATTTACAGAAATGTCAAATGGGGCATTCATTTCTAACCTCTGTAAAAATATTTATGATTACGAACAGAACTAAACTGTGCACTGGATCACTGTCGGCAATATAAACACGCCAAAATATAACACATTTTCAATACTCTTCGTCCATGAAAAAAAATTAGCGAGAACTATGTACAGTTGTAACGCGAGCGCTGAACGTTTAGTGTTGGCCGTTTGGTCACAGTGTTCCAACATGTCAGTCCACACATTCGCTCAAGTTATTTTTCGCAAACATCCACTCTCCCTTAAACTCACGCTAATGCATAAAAGAGTAATAAAACACTGCACGTTTCAGATCTTCAGTGAACAGACACAAACACTAGTAATAACGTGACACAACAACAGTGTTAGCAGTCAACCATTACAGTATATACACTTGCTAGCCCCTCCTAAACCCCTTGACTCGCCCCGACTGTCCCAAACCAAACTGTTTTAGATGCAACCTTACAGGCAACTCAAGCCTCAAGTCACTCCGCTGGACCATCATTACACACTGACCCCGCCTCCCTATCCGCTCAACATTTCCCGCCGTACAGCGTAACAGTGCTGCCACCTCTCGGTACAAACTCTCTACTGTGACTGCTGCATCTTGATCATCTTGATGGCACGTGGTGATAGATGAGGACTGATTTTATTGAAGTCAAGGTAAATGCAGTTAAAGGAAGGGATAGACTCTTAAATAAAATGGCCTTTACAATAAAGAAAACTAAAGAAAAATCAACTACAACGCCGACACCCATAAAATAGCGTAGTGGTCGGTATAGTGAATGGCTACAGGCTGGACGACCAAGAGGTCGGATTTCGAGTTCCGGTAAGGTCATGACTTTTCTCTTCTCAACGTCTTCCAGACCGGCTCTGAGGTCCACCAAACCGCCTATCTAATTGGTACCGGGGGCTCTTTCCTCGTAAGTAAAGCGGCCCGGGCGTGAAGCTGACCACTCACCTACAACTAGCGCCGAAGTCAAGAAAATGTGGAACTATACATCCACTCCCCCATACGCCATAGGGCACGGAGTTTGTTTTGTTTTTCAGTTCAACTGATATCACTGGCTATTATTGTGAACACGGAAACAAAATTTCGGGTTTCGTAGAATATACCAAAAATTCATGATCAACTAAGCGACTATCAGGTTCTCACAGCGGTTGTTATGAGGAGTTCTATCTTCTGGGATATACCGCCGTGTATTCCGGTTAAAGTCAACTGATGTTTCGGAGGAAGCAGTTAGCATGCTGGTTGCTACGTGCTTCATGCTGGTTTCTTGCTCGTCTTATTCTTCGACCGTGAAGATGGAGGCGATGTATTCATCCGAAACTTCGGTTGATTTCAACGGATTACACAGCGTTATATCCCAGAAGATAGAAAACGTCTGCCAGGTTGTCAAGAATGATTCTGCTCTGTGAAATGAGTAACAGGAAGCAATGTTCTTCTGGCTTGTGATTCCGTATAGTCCGTATAGCCCAACTGAGTAAGTTTTTACCTGAAGGAGGAGATAAAACCCAGTCTCCGAAATATTGTATTTTTAAATAAAAACAGGTAAAAGTAAACTTGTCCCTGTGCTTAACTATAGAGGAGTGGATTCATAGTTCCACACTTTCTTGACCTCGACACTAGTTACAGATGAGTGGTCAGTTTCACGGTCCGGCCGCTTTAGCCCGGGGAAAGAGCACCCGGTATCCATTGGATAGGAGATTGGGTGGGCCCCAGAGCCGGTCTGGAAGATTAGAACATAAAATTCTTGACCCTCCCGAAACTCGAACTCCGAACCCTAGGTCGTCGCTATACCGACTACGCTATCCCAGCTCCAGATAAAAATAGGACGATGGACAATGTCCAGAAACACAATATTTGTTGTCAACAATACGTGGCGTTCTGTATCTACGCCTCATGTACGCTTTCATGAGGTGATACTTGAAGAGAACAGCGATTTCATCTGATGGACGCTTTCTGAAACGTACCGTACAGGCCTGCGAGTCCTACGCTGTTGCTAAGCAAAGGAATCTGGCCTGTCTAGGCCGCCTCTCTACCCTCTGACGCGAAGAGACCAAAAAAAGAATTGAAAACACCTACACGGAATGGAAGTGACCCTCCACCCCGTTTTATAACACGGAGTGACAAGACACAAAAGAAACAGAGAATGCCTTGAAGGAGAGGCGTGTGTCGATAGCTGTTTAACGTCGTTCTTATATGGTAATGAGAAGAGAGATATAGGGAAAGGGTACACGGATGTCTCATAACGTTTATATCCTCATGGCGTCTTCAAAGTATTTTATTGAGTTAATAGTAAAAGACTGAAATTTTCTGTTATTTTTTGTCCCTTCTTATGTTCCTTATCACAGATCTTACTAATGCAACTAAACATTGTAGCGTTCAGAGCCGCTGCTACGCAACGACTGCGATATAGATGGATATAACATGGCCGTTTCTGGACAACGTCTCTGTAAATACGTTCCCGTTGCTAGGCAGCAAATTCTTAATAATGCAACAGTTGGATTACAACAATCGAAGAGCTGTGTTTTCTACGTGGTCCGTGGTCAGGTTGTAAGCGAGACGGGACTCTGTGAAGAGAGGACTTGAGGCCGATAGTAAGGGAATAACTGTTGTTGGAGCCGTTACCAGGAAACATCTTGTAACAGAGTGAGAATTCTAGACTGTGTGTTCTAGTGAACTGTAAAATGTGGCAAATAGCGATAGTGTTATAGATATTTGCATTTACGACCTGTAAAAATAAAACTCCGTGGTTTTAGTCCGCAAGCGAACTATACTCACCGAGCGACCGCCGCTTGTCGCCGAAGTTAGTGCCAACTTTTTGTGGATAGAGAGTGTCACATGATCAGCGCAACGGATCCCCACGGCCGTTAATTCGATTTTCTAGACCGGAACCGCTATTTCCTTGAAATAGCTCCTCAATTATCCTCACGAGGCTGAGTGGACCCCGTTCCAGACCCACTACTTCTCAGAAAATCTGGTAGCGCCGGGAACTAAACCCGGGACCTCTGGATATGTAGGCAGGAACCCTGAGTTTTGAGCCAGACAAGTCTAAATCCATTCTACTGAAAAGATTACATAACGTCGACTCATATAGAAAGATGATTGTGAATACTGAGTGTATAAGAATTTAGAGAGAAGCGGTCGTGACCTATTCCAGTGCACTGTCCGGTCATTCTGTGCAGAAATAAGTAACGAATATATTTGTTAATAAAACTGCAATTTCTTTTCATATCGCTGCAAAAGTGCTCGTAATTTCTTCAGTGCCTGTACACAGTAGTCCTATAATTGGAATCGCGTCTCCTATAAAGTTGTCCCTGCGCTTAATTGATTAATCACTACGGCTTGAATACTCATGGGGGAGTGGAGGTATAGCTCCATCATTCATGACCGCAGAACTAGATGGAAGTGAGTGATAGCTTCACGCCTCGGCCGCTTTACAACCAGGAAAAATTATTCATCATCGAACCCAACGTCCTGGTCATCCAGCCCGTAGCCTGTCACTATACTGAGTTGTCCAGACTCTCATGTTAGGAACATTCAGATCAGGCAATTTTTTTTACGTCGCTTACAACCTGACCACGGACCACACAGAAAACACAGCTCTTCGATTGTTGTAATCCAACTGTTGCATTATTAAGAATTTGCTGCCTAGCAACGGGAACGTGTTTACAGAGGCGTTGCCCAGAAACGTCCATGTTATATCCATCCATCTCACGGTCGTTGCGTAGCAGCGGCTCTGAACGCTACAATGTTTAGTTGCATTAGTAAGATCTGTGATAAGGAACATAAGAAGGGACAGAAAATAACCATCATGGCCGGTGTCTCCGTCTAGGGATACAAATGGACCGATAAAAAAGGAAATGCAACAGAGAGACAAACTGAAGTGTGAGGTAACTAAGGACTACGCCTTTCTTTAAAAGTTCCCCCCTCCCATTCGCGTCTCTCTTCAAAGAATTTATGTGCAGGCGTGGGCTGACATCGAAAAGCCTTTAAAAAAACTGTAATCTTACCGCTGAAACACATTTATATCGGCAGGGTTGGTATATGATCCATTTGGTCCCCTGCAGTTGATGAATCACGTGTCGTGACACAGAGCAGCTCCGTAGGCTGGGGCCACACGAGCTCACAAAGTACGTCCGTTGCAACGAACGTACTTTATGATGACGGACGTTGCTGAGGACACCACACAGTTGCAGAATGCGGTGTGTAGTTTATTTTGTCTGCAATGGAGCCAGAAGAAAGCGTAGCATTAGCCTCTCTTGTTTATTTCTACAACGGACGTCACGACGTTCGTTACGATGGACGCATCCTGTGCGCTCGTTCCCGACTCGCGTTCAGACAGTTCGCGGATCGAATTTGAACCGCTTTACAGCCTACACGAAGTCGGGAAGCTCATTCGGTATAGCGACGAGCAGGGGCTTCACAGCGTCCAGAACGGTTCTGGGGTACAGGAGGTCAGGAGGTAAAGCGGCCGGGGCGTGAAGCTGACCACATACCTTCATGTAGTGCCGAGAGAATGGTGGAGCCATATCTCCATTCCCCCAACATGTCTTACTGATGTAATGTTCAATTAATTAAGCACAGGGACAGCTTTACGTTTTTACCTTTTTTTGCAGCCTGTCCTGATCGAAATTTTTGTGATTTTTCTCAGATGTTCGAACTGAACTTTTGGATATTGCTTTGAAATAAGCCTTTGCTCCTCCACATTGTTCCCAGCCTACTAAAATTTAATGAACATTGCACTTAATTCGAAGCAGTCGTAATTAGCTTTCCTTCTAGCGGTATTGCTGATAAAAGTAAAGCGAAAGTAGTTCCTGTGTTGCAGTATCACGTCATAAATGTGTATTATTATTATTATTATTATTATTATTATTATTATTATTACTGTTTCTGTTAGAGGCTGAGTCGAACCCAGGGCCATAATGCGGCTGGAAGAATTAGGTAAATTGAAAAAATCCACCTCATCGGGACTCGAATCCGCGATTTTCCGCCTTGTAGCATAGTGCCTAAAACAACTACGCCACCGGATTGTCCAGAAAATGTGGGAGCCTCGACGTCTCACAACACTATGGGTCTCCACGGTCTGTTACAGGGATGGCTTTACCTTTTTTCTACTTATTGGGTCTGACTCGTAAATATAGTGTAAGGATTTGAAGGGCAGTTTACTTTTTCTTAAAGTAGTAACAGATGTGATCATGGTTGAATCGAAAATCTCTCAGTTCCTTTTATCCGGTGTGATATTTTCTCCTACCAGAAGATGATTCTATATCCAGAGACGGACTCACGTTTGTGGGTGCACCGGGGTAATCAAAATGTTCGGGCCCCTATGGGTAACAACAAATTTGGTTATATTTCCTCCCGTTCCCCCTATTTCCTATAATAACTGGAAATACGGAATAATTATTCGTGATATTTAGGGAACCAAAATGTGCCAAAATCTGTGGATTATATCCCTGTTATGTGGGGGCCCCGGGGCCACCACCCTAGATCAACCCCCTCAAATCCAGTGCTGTATACAGGG